TATTAAAGCAAAAAATTATCGTTAAAATTATTATTTTTTTAATTTCTGCACGACATAAATTTTTGTTATTTTTTGGGGGGGTTTCTTAGTTTTTAGTTTTCAGTAATTATTGATATATAATAACTTCTTCTCAAAAAATTTTTACCTAGGTTATTAAAAAATATTTTTAAATTTATATTATATAAAATTATTTTTACAAAATCTAAAGTCTTAAAAATTGTTTCTTTTCTTAAGATATACATTCTTGACTACGAATATTTTAAATAAAGAAAATAATGTAATGACAGGAATCTAGTAACATAGACTTTAAAGAATACAAAATACATTACAAGAAAAATGCATTGTTCCATTCAAAAAATAAGATATATTTCAGCTGTAGAAAAATCTTTTGTAATTAACGTAGACACTTTAAAGACAGTTAATGCCCCTAAAGAAATGATATAACGCCAGTGAAGGGAAAAGTTTTTTTTTTAAAAAAAAGGAGAAATGTTTTGCTTCTGGCAGGGCTCCAGTTTGAAAAGAGGTCTTCTTAATCCCGAAAAGAAACTTAACACTTAGGGTGGTACTTACACCTGTCTTCATCGCATTAGAGTTTTTTAAACACAAGAAAAAAAGAAAAAAATAATTAACAGATAAAATCGGCACCTATATCACAGCTAATAATGTCTGCTTGTAATAAATAAGTTCTATTTAATCTTTACCTTTAACAGTTTTCTTTCATATATTTAAGGCAATATTTAGATTTTCTGTGTGTAATTGTTAATGTCTTCATAGCCAAAAAATTTTTGTGTCCAGTTTGTGATGTTTATTTTCAGGTTGATTAAAAGTTGAATCCCAAAAATCGAAACGTAAAAGCCTTTGTACTCAAAAGAAGTTTTTTTTTAAATTTTTTTTTTTAAAAAACTTTGGTAGTGTTTATTTTAACTGTAAAAATGACCTCGAGTGCAAAGGGGTAATATTTTTTAAAATCTAATTGACATTTAAATGCTAACTTCTATCAAACAATACTAAAAGAAAACATTTATTCTTCAGTAGTCTGTTCTCGAATTTACAACCCTTTCTGGAGTATGAAAACATTAATTCAAAATATATTACGAATCTCTGGAAATGCAAAACTAACTGCGTTGAAACGTTTTGCAACCAGCATACTTTAAACAACAAAAAGTTAAAGTATGTTACCTCACTTAGAATGTACCGTTTGCTATTGCACTTTGCTAATGTCCTGTCTGACTAAAATTTTCATTCAAAATTTCTGTTCCGGAAAGGGTTAAAACACTAAAATAGTTTATTATCGTGTGCAGTATTAGGCCTGAAATATTAAGGCGTGACTATTATTAGTTAAGATTTCTTTCAGAGAAAAGTTAAAATGTTGCTTAGCAACAAATAAGCATGTTTCGAATTAACTAAGGCTATGAACACAACTCAGAATTATATATGTCATATGCCTGATATATGTCCCTTTCTCATGCAATTGTTTCTGAAAACATATTTAAAGAATTTCGATTAATAAAGATACGCCATAGCTTTTGAGTGTCTTATAAACTAAGAGTGATGAAGTTCAAAATATTCATTTAAAAAAAACTCTGTGCACTTAATTTCGAAAAAAAAAATTAACTTTAAAATTTACTAGTATTCATCTATATAAAATTACATAATGCCTAATTTACAATGCAAGAAGCAATTTTGATATAAAACACAGGTTTTAAATAGAGATTTGTGCTTTTTTTATTGATTTATAATGTAGATAGTATAGAGCTATATGAAACAGATTATCAGGTAAATGGTTTCCAGAGTTTTGTTTGCACTGACGTACAATTGCCGAAACTTTCAATGATTTTTTTTTGCATAAATGCAGCTTAATTTGCTTGATATCACGGTTATTTTCTCTTTCAAGACTTGGGTGGTTGTAGAATTGTGATTATTAGGGGCATAAATCTTACACTTTAAAAATAATAACAAAAGAAAATGCCATTTAAAAAACCAAAGAAAGAGCATGATCTGGGCGTCCGATTATGATCCCCAAAATTGAAAATTGCAGGACTGGGAAATGACTCAACGTTCTTCAAAATATTGCTTAACTATAAGAATGCGTAGAATTTTTCATGAAGTACACAGTCTTTTCATTAACAATGTACCATCAGCTACCAAGATGTCTCTTGTTTCTTCGTTTCCACACTTGCTTTCACAAATAAGGGAGAAAAATTTAAATATTGCTGGAACTTTTAACACCTCTAAAACCTCTCTCAACCTCTTAAAAACTATACCGTTGTGTTTGCAAACGGGCATGTGAATTATTGCCCATTGACAAATGACACTTTAATTTAATGAAAGCAGAAAGCGACTAGATTACTTTTAAATGACTGAAGTCAGAAGGTGACATAACTTGTGAATTATATGCTTTGCAATAAAGGAAAGAATTACTGTTCCTTTCCAGACTGTACACCTTTGCAATTCAAGAATCTTCATTAGAAGCCAAGAGAATAACGAACTGAAGAAGTGTCGTAAAATTTTCAGGATTTCGCTTCTGAGATTACAGTTTTTTTTATGTTTTGTATCGTCTGTGTTACTAAAATCTATTTTCTACAACACATCTATAATTAGATTTTACCTAACGTCTGTCGGATATTTTCATAGAATCAGTTAGCGAACAGAAATGTGTAGAAAACAATAAGAGCTGACAACAGACCCCTTCATTGTGGTTTAGTTTCTATTATTTATTTATTTTTTCTAAAAGTGCTTTCTGCATGAGACATAGAAAAAATTTTGCTCAACGTTTATAATGTTTTCTCCAAGCAATTAATTGTGAAAAGTTCACGAAGTAATTCATTTCTTATTAGAGATCATTTAGACACTACTGTTTACTCTTAGAAACAATTACAGTTTGTCTGATTGTCACTTGATAAATGCTAGAAAAAGGCCGGCCATTGATTTAATCTTGTCATTTTGGTATTTGAAACAAAAAGGATAGTTAAAGTATTCGAGTTTCTTTATTGTGAAAATAAAAATATCCTTCTCTTGTATTTAGTCTTAAGGTAACTAAAAATGGTTATTTTAACTGAAGTGCTAGATAGTCGGTTTCAAATGCTTCCGATAAATGCATTTGCTGGGATGCCACAGGAGACTATTTTTGCAAAAAGTGGTAGAAACTCAATTTTCTTTTATTCATTTATTATCTCTTTAATTATTTAATCGTATCGACCACCATGACTTACATTTCATATTACTCATATATACACATTTTTGTATTTACTTTCAATACTAAACTGAAAAGATTAGCTGGAAAAAGTTGCTAATTTTAATTTCTTTTAATAAAATTTTGAAATTTATTAGTCAGCACTTTTTACATTTTCAGTCACCCGTTGCAACCCTGAATTTGCAATAAAAATTTGTGCACTTTATTCACTTGGAAATAATTTATACAAGTTCTAGTATATTTTATCTTCTAAAAGGGCTTTTTTTGCATGTAACACTGGAAAAAAAAATTTCAACGTACATAATATTTTTCCAAGCAATTACTTGTAAAAAGCTCACGAAGTAATTCATTTCTAATTAGAAATCATTTAGACATTACTCATAGAAAGAATTACTGTCTGATTGTCACTTAATAAATGCTAGGAAAAGGCCAGTCATTGATTTTATTTTGTCATTTTGGTACTTGAAACGAAAAGTTAGTGAAAGTTTTCAAGTTTTTTTTTTTGAGAAAACAAAAATGTCCTTTATTTGCATATAGTCTTAAGGTAAATAGTTGTTTTAATTGAAGTGCTAGCTAGTCGGTTTCAAAGGCTTCCAATAAATGCATTTGTTATAAGAATTTGCCCTTCTTATTTCAAAAATTTTTATTAAAGTTATTATTTTTTTTTCTAAAAAAGTGCTTTCTGTATGAGACATTGAAAATTTTTTTCAACTTTTATAATGTTTTTTGTAAGCACTTATTTGTGAAAAATTCTCGAAAAAATCCATTTTTCATTAGAGTTCATTTAGACATTACTGTTTACTCTTAAAAACAATTACAGTTTGATTGGTGACTGATTGTTACGAATTCTGCACCAACCACAGTGCAGCCATGTAGATGGATCTCCAGTGGTAGATGGATAGCGGTCTAGAATTTCCTGACCATCGGACTATGTAAGGAAGGTTTTCGTGGTTTTCCTGTCCATGTAACACATATGAGTGCTTTTTCGATTTAAAAAAACCTTCACGAAAGCTTGTTTGTCTCAATGCTTGATCCAGTAAATCCCTTGTCATCTGGGTTGGCTTGAAAATTGCCATGCTACGAAGTTGAACATTGATAGTCATTAACTCAGAAATGAGTCGGCTGTTCAACGTCGGTTATAAAAATATTTTTAAAAAAAACTTGCAGTTTTAATCTTTGTTAACAGACAGTCGTTCGTTACATTCAAAATTTTTAAAATGCAAAGCAGAATCATCATCTAGTTGCTATTCTTTATTACTTGAATTTTTATTGTTTTTTAATGAACTGTTGTCCGTTTCTTTCAAGATTTATACCTCGAAAAAAGAATTACCATATATAAATATAAATGATTTTTATTCTTTTTTAATGAGCAGTTGCCCATTACTTTCAAGATTTATACCACGAAAAAGAATTACCATATATAAATGTCCTTTAATATTTTCAGATTTACTTATTGTTAATAAACGCGCATTCGTATGTTTCAAAACTTTCACAATGCGAAGAAGAATGATCATTAATAGACATTTTTTACTACATTTATACTGTTAGTTAATGAACATACGTTCGTTACTTTCACTATTTTCAAACTGTAATTATATCATGATTTTCTAATATTTTTTACTACTTGTAATTTTACTGTTTTTATGGAACAATCACTCACTACTTTCACAATTTTCATATTTCAAAGAAGAATATTTTTTAATAATATTCTTTAATACTTGCAGTTTTTTTTAAAATTTTGCTTTAATAGATAATAAAAATGAGATTTTAAATTTTTATGTATTCTTTTTTAGCAATGAATTATCAAAGTTATCAAATACAACATCCTTGCTAGACAGTTTGCTGTCAGAAGACAAGTATGACAGAAGAATTCGACCTGGTTTTGGTGGTAATAAATCTTTTTAAATCATCTTAATTTTGAGAAAGTAAGCAATATCTCTTAACAGTTTAAACACTGGTGTTAAAATTTTGGAGCATGCGTTTGTGTTTTTTCCAAAACACAAAAACTGATATCTCAATGACTTCCTTGATAGCAATTATCCTGGATAAGTAAGGCATGCATAGCAGAGATGAGACGGGTTCAACTCGAGACCGAAAGCCCGACGCTGATTCGGTCTCATTTAGTGAAAAAAAAGCTTCGGATTTCCGACACAGTCAGATTCATTAAAATATTTTCAGTAACTTTCTTACTATGTGCCGACCGGCCTGTGTAGAGGGCAGAGAACTATCCTTGCATCAGAAAGGTTCTGGGTTCGAATCCCGGGCAAGGCATGGATTTTCTTTCCTTCTCTGTACTATCTGTCCTCACTGTAGGAGCGACGTTGGCCAACGCCTCCTGTATCTGAAAGCCTCCACATGGTTTTTTACAGGTAGTCCTGTGAAGGATATCCACTTTCCGAACGAGTCATTTAGTACAAAATTTAGTTAAGGGCAATTCCATATGTGACGGAATGACATTTTGACTTGCATGATGACAATTAATTGAAGTTTCTATGCATCTAATTTCAAATAAACATGATTTTTTCTCATGCATATCATTATTATTGGTATAATGTGATTCATAAACTAAAAAAAAAGAATTTTGTATTTTTTTTATTTTTAATTTTATGAACTTTTTACTTGTGTGACGGAATGACATTTTGGCAACCAAGCTTTCGGCATGCCGCTTAGAACTGGTAGTTTCTGTGAATTTTGCAACTATTATTTTCCTGAACTATTTTTTACTTTTAGTATAATGTGTAAGCAATGTAAATTGTGAATTTGGAAAATTAACCTCAGGTTGGTTAGCAGTTATTAACATCTATTTGCTGTGACGGAATGACCGTGACGGAATGACAAAAAGTTTAGTGGAAGAAAGTNTGTGAGGGATATCCACTTTCCGAACGAGTTATTTAGTACAAAATTTAGTTAAAATAAGAAAGTGGTAGCAAATATATGACTAAAAATTTGTTTTATTTATGAATATTATTGGTTTGCCTTATTCACTTGTCAACCACTACAGATATAATTCTCAATTATATGTGATAAATTTCTCTCAATTACTTTTATAAAAGGTTTTGGGTTCATGCGCGCAACTGGTTCACTTTTTAAACTGTCTGCGCGGACTACTTATAAAAGACCGTGTGGAGGCTTTTTGATGTAGGAGGTGATGCGTTGGCCCACCTAATATGGTGCCCCTGAAAGAGAGGCCAACAAAATCGCCCTGTATATGCCTGAATTGACGGATTTTAACACAGGTGGGCATTGGAAAAAAAAACTTGGTTCAGTTATTGAGTATAAAAAATTTTAAATTTATAGGGTATTAAAATTCACAGCATTCTGCAACTTCTGTTCAGTGCTTTTGTTTCGCGAGGTTAGCGCTGATTACATTCTTTTTTAATTTTTGTTTTTGTCACCTTGAGTTTCAGATGGTTAAAGTTTTAGTCGTCGCTTTTTCTTTCCTGGCTTTTTCATTCACTTTGTGATAATCATGAATGGATAATTTCTTTGAAAAAAAGAGCTGAAACGAAGTAGTTATGCTACCTCTTTTTAAACTTTTGTATGGATCACGAAATTTCAACAATGAATTTTTACGTGAGCCTCTGACAATGTGTTAAGTCTGGGTACAAACTTTTGTATTCCGCAGTCGTAGAAATTTGCCGCCTATCCTCAGAACCACGCTTTAACTTCAGTTTTGATCTCATCCTCATCATGAAAGTTTTGCCTAACAAGATCTTTTTTGAGATAAAAGAATAAGTGAAAGATCTATGCGGTATGGCGGATGATTCAACAGGGTGCGTAGCGTTTTTAAAAAGTGCTTAAAGGTGTTTACTTTCGATTTTTTGTTTTCTAAAAGCCCTTAAAGGCAAAGCGCCTTTGATATTATTGCATGAGAATTTCATTGGGTGTTTTTAAAAAGTGCTTAATTTTCCCTTTTCCAAAATGAGATTTTTTCTTTACCATGTTGATTTTTGCCACGAATTATGTAAAAAGACATTGTTCAAATTTTATTTCTCTTGCTAATTTAATAGTTGGTGACGCGGCATCGTCTTCGTCACTGGCTAGCTCGAGATATTCTATGACAAACTTGACTTGACCATGAACTTTGAACTTAACTTGGGGATCATTCACTAATTTCTTATTTTCTCGTGGGTTCCCGGAGCAGTCAAAAATCCAAAATTTTCATCTCCCTTTTTATTCATTAAGTTTAAAAACTAATTGAGAATTTTAAGTGTAATATTTTTACTTTTTATTTACCATCCACCAATTGCATAATTTTTTTTAAAGTTTTTATTTAATTTATTACTTTTTTTGCTTATTAATAATTTATTAACTATGCACTTAACTTTTAATCAATTATTTTATTATTACTTTTAAAATTTTCCGTATTCTTAAGTTGTTTGATGAGATATATCAATTATATTTAAAGACAAGATTTAAAAAAAGTATGAAGTGAGGGGCTTTCAATATTTTAAACGCAGAAAAAATCTTATGTTCAGTTAGGTAAAAAAAAATCATATTTGTCATTCCAAAAAACTTTAATTCTTCTCTTAATAATGTTTAAAAAAATTTTTTTTAATGAAAAATTCACTTATAGCAGATTTGTTAAATATTAAGAATGTAGGGTAAAAATGTTTCGCTTCAATACTCATTGTATTAACATTTCAAAATAATTTAAATATTTTTAAATATTAATTAAAGAAATAGTGAACCAAGTAAAACTATTATTATGTACACTGAGAACATATTATTCTGTACATAAGAAGTACACTTTATATGCATACTGGTGTACATATAAAGAATTAGATGATTATGAATAGATTTTTATAAGATAATTAATTTTGTATTTTTATTTTTAATAATTAAACAAAATAAGGGATTGGATAAATTGCAATTTGACTTATTTTAATTTATAATTATTTAATATTTACTACACTGAAATTTGGGTTTTTAACAGTAATTTTCAGAACAAAAAGAGTTCCATGTTAAAATAAATCAAGAACATAATTGATAGAACTCTTGTAATTTTGCATGTATCTTAATTTAAAAATACTTCATACTTATAATAGCTAATAATTATCCGTAAGCCAAAATTTTGATTTTTTGGCAATTTTCTAAATTTATGTCAAAAGGATTTTTTGACATGACTGTTAAAACCGTCAATTGTCAAGAACTTGCCAACCGTGCCTAATTATGATATTTCCTTAAAGTGCTTACAAATATTTTTTGAGTTCTTGAAATTGCTTAAAAGATGCTTATTTTTTGTTTAAAACTTTGGCTACGCACCCTGTTTAAAATTTTCCATTTGAAACTTGAGTATTGCTTTGATTTGAAGCGTTGTGTGAGGACGATTACATGAGATTTTTATTGGACTCACAGAAATTTTTCTTTTGCTGCCATTGGTGAAGTATATTTACTTTTCTTAAACGCCTCGTATTTCCATTTAATTGAAAAATATTTTAGTAGTTGTGAATAACTTGATACATTATTTTTTTTTCATTTTTGCTACCACTTAAAAAAAAATTCAGATTGTAGGAGTCCTGCTATTTAGTTAAAAATTCTCAGGGCCTCAATAGCTGCTACAGGTAAGCCTCCACACGATTTTTTATAGGTAGTTCGATCAAACCACTGTGAAGGATGTCCACTTTCCGAACGAGTCATTTAATACAGAACATAGTTAAAATAAGAAAGTGGTAGCAAATATATGACTGAAAAGTTGTTTTATTTATGAATATTATTGGTTTGCCTTATTCACTTGACAACCACTACAGATTCATTTCTCAAATATATATGATAAATTTTTCTCAATTACTTTTATAAAAGGTTTTGGGTTCATGCGAACAACTGGTTCACTTTTTAAGCAGTCTACGCAGACTACTTATAAAAGACCGTGTGGAGGCTTTTTGTTGTAGGAGGTGATGGGTAAGCCCAATAGTAGCGACGCATCTTTATCTAAAATACAAAATATTTAATTTTTCCTTTCACTCCAACTTGAATTCCAGTTACCAGAAAGTATCACCTTAAAGTTAAAACTTCAAGATAGATGGGAAAAAGGCCGTAAAATAGGACAAAATTAATTTTGATGATGATGAGAGCACAGATTTTCCGCAGAGATTTCCAAATAAGAATTATTTTTAGAAGTAAACTGATATAATAAAGTTTGTAAAAGGACACATGAAAACCAGTTGCTCTATCTATACAATTTAAAATTCTTAAAACAGAAATATATAATAGATATCCTTAATATAAATTTTATTTAGGGATGAAATTTCAAGTATTGCTTCAAAAACGTTTCTACCAGCTTTTTTTTCCCGTTGCTGATAAGCTTATTCATGTATCTATTGAGTTATTCTGAAAGTAATTACGTTTTTCTTTTCTTTCTTTTTTTATGAAAAGGAAAGGCGATTTTCTTAAAGTAAAAAATTTCTTTATTGAATCAGTTATTGTCCAATCTGGACGGAAATTTTTTGCCATCCACGAGCATAAAATTTTTGTTCTTTTCTGGTAAAAAACTATTTCAGGTGATTTTTTACCTCTTTATTTGAAATGAAGGTTTTACCTTCTAAAATTTTTTGTAGAGACCGGAACATTGTTGTAGAAAACCCTTTTCTTGTCTCCAGTGACGATGCGCTTTAAAAATTTATAATTTTCTTGACGTTTGAGAAGCAAATCACAGACGTCAACTCGACGGCACAAATTTCTTTCCGTAAGAACATGACGAACTCGTATGGCGAGTTTTGATATTAAACCTTAGGCTTTTCGAATGCTCATGAACGGTCAAATTTGATAAAATCAATGCTTCAGCGATCTCAAGGGGTGTTATTCACCTGTTTGCCTCAATTAATGCCTTTATTGTGTCTTCATCAGCTTAAACTGGCTTGGTGCATCTTAACACGTTCACGCCGGGAAAAGTGAAAATACTGGTATGGGAAAAAGAGAAAATACTGGCAGAAGAACTATTTCAATATTAGATAATAATCGGGAGGAGTTAATCTATTCTCAACAATAAAAATTCACTGTAAGGAAATTTATCACAGCGCAGAAGCAATTCAATATAAAAATTGCATTCGTTAAAAACAATTGGTAGTTATTGATTTTTATTATTCCCGGAAAAAAACTAAAAAATGAAATTTATTGTTACCAGTTTTTACTCCGGTGCGCTGCCAAGATGAGACAATCTAGCGTGATCCACCGGTGGGTCACCCTGGCGTGAACGTGTTTATCGAAATTTTGTTAACCAGTTTTGACACTGCGTACTCTAATACATCTTCTTCATGCATATCGTGTAATTTGTTTCTTATTTATTTGAGCGATATTTTACTTTTTCGATAGTCGAAAAGTAAAATATGCCGAAAGTTTTGCTTTTCATTTTCCATATTTGAAAGGGAAACAGCCAAGAACTGCTCCGTTTAATCAGTCGCACTTTTTCACAAGTAAGCCTTGCTATATCAGCTGGTAATACATATAATGATAATTGGCTATGAAAAAATATAATTAACTCCTCTTTAGAAAAAACAAAATTACTTTCCAAACAGCCCGATATTATCAGCTAAGAAATTTCATCTTTTAATTTTGATTTTAATAAATTAAATTGTTTTTTTTTTAAGGACCAGCAGCTATTGTTGAAACAGATATAAACATTCGAAGTTTTGGTCCAATATTAGAATCTGAAAGGGTAAGATCTCTTTTAACTGCATGTTTAACTGTTTCATGTATTTAAATTCGGGATATGTTTTTCAAACAAATATACTCTGTAAAAAGTTGTATGTGAATCAAGCAACCATCAGAAGAACAAACATGGAAAGTCTCCAACCAAAACATATCCAATTGAAATGCTCATTCATCCGTGATGACTTGATTGATATGCTTGGCACTAAAGATTTGAATTTAAAAAGGTGCTTTGATATACAAATTACTTGAGGCAGTTTATCTCTTTCACACATAGGCTATAATTTCAAACTCATTTGTAATTTATGTGTTTTTTTATGTCTAGAACTTGAGTCATTATACATAGATGTATAAACAGAGTTTTACTTATTTATTTAGTGATTTAGGGTAAATTGTCTCTTAATATTCATTTATATGATATGTATTTATTAAAAAATCTTTTTATTTTTGATATTCATTTAACTATTGACTATCTGTGAGTATATTGGATCATAATTTTTTTTTCTTGAATTTATATATGGCTCTTAAAATGTGAAAGAAATTTTGAAAACCTTAAACTTTTAAATATAAAGAATGGTAATATAATGAATTATAACATTGAAAGGAAATGTACGGCGCGCAAAATAAATAAATAAATAAAATAAAATATACAGAACTTCCTGTATAACTTTTGATCTAATGATCTGATTAACTTGCACTGGGAATCAATTTTAAAGGTTTGAGGGGTAAAATCAAATATGTAAATTACTTAGTGCAGATGATAGTTTAATTTACGAAATCAGACACAAAAACGTACTTTCTCTAACTTCATAAGTAAAACTACATTAAAGACTAATAAGTTGGTGAATCTTTGGTTAAAAAGGATAAAAATGTAAACAGTTTTTGAGTTATATTTTAAGTTAAATGTAAACAGTTTTAAGTTCAGCATACTTATTTATAAAATATTATAAATTAAATATAAAACATGCAGGAAAATATGAAAATATCACTACTGCTTATTAATTTCAATACTCGCGTTTTTTTTAAAAGTTTTTCTAAGAAATACACTAAATAATAGCTGTCGCATAAATACATTATTTTATAATTTTTGCTTTAAATTTTTCTGACAAATCTTTCTTTCGCTTTAAATCTGGATTTCGTACATTACATTTATATCTTTAATCTACTTTTGCAAATGATTCACTTAAAACATGTATATTTTGCACATAATGCAGTGTTCAAAGCTTTGTTCTAAAATTTTTGTTTTGGGACAGCGTGCTAAAAATATTTTATAACCCTTTCTTTCCTTTTTACTACAAATATCTAAAGGTATGTTGATATTAATGAGCGAGTAGTCCTAGAAATCGAATTTAAAAAAAGTCGAATTTTTTAAAATTCAATTTCTAAGGAACTATTCGACCAATATCGCTCAAATTTTGTATTCCACAGTGTAAAATTGTATTTATTTCATTGCTATTTAACATTTTTTAAGCTATTTTTAAATAAAATAATAAAAAATATTTACTAAGAATTATTTTTTGCATGAAATTATATTTGGAAAAACGAATTTTATAATTGTATGCAAAAACATAGTGAAATACGCAAAAGTAAAATTAACATTAAGGGGTTGAAACTTTGGATCGCACTCTTGAGTAAACTATTGGGACCATATTTTTTCCCCAGATTGCGGCTACCTTCTATAATTTGAAGATTGGAAATTCAAACCCATAAAAAAATGGCACATTTATTCTAAAAAAGTATGTTTTAATGCTTGATATAGTAATTAAAATATCATCTGTAGAAATAAATTAGCTTATTTGAGTTATCCCCCCCCCCTCTTAAACCATTATAATTGAGACCAAGTACTTGAAAATCCGATGATTAGATCAAAAGGTATTCAGGGTGTTTCATTAATTATTTTGTTCGCTGCACATATATAATACAATGTAGAGTAATATAATAATAACTTCAAAAATCTTAATTCAACCCGTTAATTAATTCTCGGCTAAAGAAATGGTTAAGATATGGAAAGCATCTATAAGGGAAAAAATTAGATATTTCCTTCTGTGACTTACCTCTTTAGCTTAAAAAAAAGTTCTATACTTTGAATTTAACCCCTTAACCCCTTGGGGACGGGTGATTCAGAAAAGCATTCGTACAAAATCAGAATCAAGTTGCAATTAAATAAAAAACGGTAACTTAAATGTAGTCGTTACTAATTTGACAGACTTACTTTGCTTTTATTTTAATTATTGTTAGTTTAATCATATATATAATCAATGTTAATTCAAAGTATAACTAAATAGTTTTATTTTGAACAAAGTAATGGTGAATTAAATAAATCAAAAAATTATAACTCCGCCTACAAATAAACTGCTAAGGAAATACTTTGATTACCAGTTTTATTTTCTTACCCTGATTGATACGGTTTTTTGCTGTCACGTATTTGTGACAGTCGGCGCGAAAGGGTTAACGCACAGATTTTTTGAAAAAAACCGGAAAAAAAAATCAATTTTTTTATGTAAAAAAACACACTTTAGATTCTAACTACACTAAATTCAAAATAATTTGACACTAAATTCAAAACTTTAATAAAGTTTTGAATTTCATCAGCCACTACAATTATTATTAGTCAATGAGATTAAAATGACCAACTTACTCATACCTGCCAATTTTTACGCATCTGGAGTAAAATTTTATTTTTATATTTAAAGTGGTAGTAAATATATACTATTTTTTCTTTTATAAACTTAATTTTTAAATGATTTTGATCACCACTGTTCTTAAAAAAGTTAAGCATATATACATTAATATGTGTTACTAGGTACTATGTATGTCAGCTTAAGCGTTTTCAAATACAACGTACTTTTTTTTTTGTGTGTCTAAAATTGAAATTTTAATTCCATTTTATTGCTACTGGGAAAAATTATATTGGAAGAGATTAAAAGTTGGCAAATATGCTTACTATTCAAAGTGAAAGCAAAGAATGTTTTTGTTTTAAATATGAATAATTTAAAATTTAAGGCAATGTTGTAGATACGATTGATTAATTATACAGACTACAAATAAATAAAAATGAATTCAATCACTTTTCGCATGTTTAGTCATCCGTGGTCTTCCTGTTAAAATGTTTGTTTGTTATAAATCTATAAATATGGAGTTTTTATGAAGTGATGAATGAAAGATAACGGTAAGGCGAATCTGTGTTATTTACGTGTATCGGGAAAAAAAACTAAGCAATATTTCCGTAATTGCATAGTTACAACCCGGAAGTTCCAGTTTCCCGCAATATTAAAGTGAAAGTACAATTATGGTGAACAGAAGGTAAATATAGCAATGACAGCCCAATTACAACAACAATCACATTTCTGATCTCGAAAATATAAAACTCCTTCCTCTGTTATAGCTGGAATCCGAGAAAGAAATTCATGATTCCTAAGTTTTAGTTTTAAACAATTTTGAAAGTATTAGTGAAAGAGTATGTAACCCTTTAATACGTGATACAATTTGAAGATACTTACTTTTTCTTATTACCTTTAAATATTAATTAACACAATTTAAATTCCTTAATATAATAAATATTTTCTTATTACCTTTAATATTGCTCAAAGCGTAAAAAAGAGCTAGGAAAGTTTTTCTGTCATGAACATTTATTTGAGTTATTAAAGATAATCCATGTGTACTAGAATATATTATAAAATTTCTTGTTTTGTATTGCTTTTTAATCTGGGCTTCTGGGCCAGAAATCTGCCCCTATCCCATTCATCATGTAGTATTAGTCATTTTGTTTGGTTTCGTTGAAGCTAGCAGGCAATGTGGTTGCTGTCAGAGGATTCAAGCACTTTGCTTGAATAAATAATAATAATAATGAAAATGAAACGGAGTAGCTTGCTCTAAACTATGTGTGACTTGAGTTTCGGATACTGGTTGATGGTCAACGTGGGGAAACGCTTGATAGAACTTTCAATATTGTAGTTGTTGAAGCTGATGTNTGTTATTTGTCTTCTACTGCCGTCTGTATAGATTTCATAACCCACACCCCTCGGTGAGCTGTAGCCCCTTTCTATCAACTTGAGATCCGAGGGATTGAATATGAGGCGTCGGATGTAAAGAGAGCCGCTATTGGTCTGAATTGTATATTTATAATTTAATTTCTCTCAGACGAATTAGTTAGAGTTGGCGCTAAGATAATTACCACGTATGAGTGAGTGTCGTTTCTTTTAGAATGTTCTAAGGTCGCAGTTGCTATAGTCCAGCCTGTCTATAATTTTCATTAGAATTTGTGTAATTTTCCTACTTGTAGCGTTTTGACGTATCAAATCTTAAATTTGAAGTTTAAAAAAAAAAAAAACTTTCAACCTACCACGACATATTAATAATTAAAAAATATGCATATGTGACTTATTTGTTCGCTTATTTAATTCTTAAATGTTTAAGAAGCTAAATTTTTCTGAAATGTTTTCAGCTTTAATTGTTTCTTTACTTCCACTTTGTAAAAACAATAAATAATTCTTTCGCGTCTGAATTCTAAAACAAATGCCTATTTCAAGCGTGATTTAACCTTTCCATTTTGAAGGCTTCTTCCAATACATCCCTTACTCACCCCCTCCCCCGCAGAGGAAATAATACGCCTCTATTGCTGACCGATGTGAAAATACTTTGTTTTAAATGTCACAGCGAACGGGAAAAAAAACAGTGAAGCAAAATAAAAAAAAATATTGTTAAATCAAAGCTAAATAATTTACAGATAAACAATTACTTTTAATAATTTTACTTTAGTTTTAAAACAGTTCAAATCATGAAAATGATATTGCAGGCATTGATTGGCATTTTGTGGGGTTCAGAGAATCAGTATATATATATATATATATATATATATATATATAATTAATATTCTTCTGAAACAACTTTTAAAAATTAAATGGGTAAATAATATCAATTATATATTTTCTCAAATTTACTATCACTTTTCTTTTTGTGACTTCTCATTGCATCATAGTAACGGTTTTGAGTATAATTATATCAACTACTATCTTTTGACATTTCAAATTTACACAATAAATTGCTTCTAAAACTGGTAGCCAACGTTTCCCTAAAATATTTATTCGAATTATTTATAGTAGTTATGAGTGCTTGCATGTAGTGTAGTTTGAGGGTTTTATTGTAAATGTATTTAGGACCATACCTACCACCGTTAGTCTCACAAGTGGTGCATGCAAATTAATTAATATTTTAGTCAAAAAAATATTTTTCTCAAAATATACCTGTGCTTAAATAGTTTTGTATCTAAAGTGAATGTATAAAAATAGCCTTATTAATATTTACTTAAAAAATAAAATAAAACCCTAAGCCACAAGACAAATTATAATTTCTGATTGCCCACGTGTTACACATGACATGGAATTCTAGTACTACTTTATTCATCGAAGCATTTTTCACATCACTACTGCATTAAAAAACAGGGAGCCAATTGATCTATACTTTGAACCGAGTGGTATCGTCGTTCCGCTAAACGCTTTGTTGAATGGAGGTAACGTTTTCGAATTCTGCTATAATCCTTCCCTGGATATATCTTTGAGATGTCGCTACACAATGAGGAAGCGAGTGGTAAGCAAGAGCACAGGTGGAGAATTCCTATATTTTTGCATTAGGATGCGCAGAGGTGATGTGCGCGTGTTGATTCAAAAGTATGGGAAGTTGCATTTAGGATGCCTTTTATTTACCGTTCGCTCCCTCAGTGTGTGGCCTACCTAACTTGTTCACCTCGACATAGGCTTATAAACCGTGTTTGTAATGAACACACAAACCTGCATTTGTAAGTGTGAAAATGAATAAGTTTAGAGTTTTATACAATTATTGACGAATTTCTGTTGTTTTCGTATGCTACACAATGAGAAAGCGGATGGTAAGCAAGAGCACATGTGGAGAATTCCTATACTTTTGCATTAGAATGCACAGAGGTGACTTGCCCATGTTGATTCAAAAATATAGGTATGCATTTAGGATGTCTTTTATTTGCTGTTCGCTCCCTCAGTGTGTGGCCTGCCTAACTTATTCACCTCGACATAGGCTAATTAACCGTGTTTGTAATGAACACGCAAATCTGCATTTGTATGTGTGAAAATGATTAAGTTTAGAGTTTTATACAATTACTAACAAATTTTTGTTGTTGTATTGTCATATGCAATTATAGATTTTCATAATGTCCACTATTATGTAAAGAATGAATGTAAAAATAAAATAAATTCCCAATGTACAATTTTAAGGTTTACTCCATGGACTGTTATTTCCGACAAACTTGGTATGATTCAAGACTCCGGTTTACTGCAGCTCAAGAAGAACTATCTTTAAATTGGAAATTTCTACAAAAAGTTTGGATACCTGATACATTTTTCTTCAATGGTAAAAACTCATATCTTCATAAAGTTACAGTTCCCAATAAATTCATACGACTGCGTCCAGACGGACAGCTATTATATTCTATGAGGTATATTAAATTCTTCTAGAATAAAATTATTATCCTTCTTTAATTCTTGTCTCAAGCTTTTTAAAGTTTCGTTTAGGTTAACTGTCAAGGCCAGCTGTCCTATGCATCTGAGAAAATATCCTCTAGACACTCAAGCATGTCCTTTGGAAATTGGAAGTTGTAAGTGTTCTTTGATTTTGGGATCTCAACACATTTGTTGCGAGCAGCTTTTCCAAAAAAAAATTACTACAGCTGTTATAGATTAAAATTTAAAAAAAGTGGTAGACAAGATTTCATAAACGTTGGAGCATGCTTGTAACTATAGCTATAACTTCAATTTAAAAAAAGAAATTACGGCGAAGGATTGTAGTACTGATTACGCTGAATCATTTATGTTTGTGGTAATCACGAATGGCTAATTTCCATTAAAAACAGAGCGGAATCGAAGTAGTTTTGCCACCACTTTTCAAAATTTTGTATGGATCACAGAAATTTCAAAAATAAATAAACAGAAATTTGTTTTGCTCTTCTTACTAGATGCACTTTTTAAAACGTGTTTACTTATTTATTATTATTTTTTTTAAATTTTTCACTTTAACTTTTAATTTACGTTTTAAAAATATGCTTTGAAGAAAAATTTTTAAAAACTTCATGTTTAAAATACAGGAGTTTGTAGAAACATCCTCGTAAAATATTTTAGAAAAGTAGACGTTTCGAAACGTGTTTGGAAACCAACTCGAAAGTTTCTTAAAAAAACTGCATCAAAATTGCTTCATTTCTCATGGGTTGGAATAGAATATCCGATTTATTTTCTTTATAAATTAGCTTCAGGCATTAAAAAATGAAGGTTAGTGAATGATTATCATGTTTATTCTATAGTCACAATTGTTAAACTCAACTCGGCGTTTAAACTTTTACCGAACATTAAATCCTTTATACATATGCTCGAATCTTCATTTGTAATGTTGGTCAAAACCCGCTGAAATCTATTTGTTACCCCCCCAAAAAAATAACGAATAAGAAATCAATTTTAAAGCAGAAACATTGCTATACCTGATAAATGTTTCCGAAAAAAATAAAAACATTGTGAACACAGAAAAAATGAAGCATATGTGTTCTCTAAGTTTCCTGTTTTTAGCCTTTCATTAATTTTAGGGAAATCAAATATTATTTCAAGTTTGTAATACAACTACGAATATGGCTTAAAATTTACAAATTATATGAAAAGCAAACAATTGTGTGTAGATGATGAGTAAAACTTTGACCTTAAACTGGAAAACCTGGCGTCTATTTATCGATATCCCGGAAACAAACAAGCGAACCACAACGGCAAGTGCATTGAGAAGGTCAGTTGCCTATTTTTCCAATGGAACTATATAATTTGTCAGAGAAAATGTTTTCTGTTCATTTTTTTCTTCTTTTTTTTATTGGTTAGGGAAATTCTNTAGACGCTTCGAAACATGTTTGGAAACCAAAATTGTTTCATTTTTCATGGGTTGGAATAGAACATCCGATTTATTTTCTTTATAAATTAGCTTCAGGCATTATTAAAATGAAAGTTACTGAATGATTATCATGTTTGTTCTATATAGCCACAGTCATAGTTGTTAAACTCGGCGTTTAAGCTTTCACCGAACATTAAATCCTTTATACGCATGCTTGAATCTTCATTTGCAGTGTTGGTCAAGACCCACCAAAATCTATTTGCTACCCCCCCCCCAAAAAAAATAATAAATAAAAAAATCAATATTAACCCTTTCGCGCCGACTGTCACAAATACGTGCATAAAACCGTATCAGCCAGCATAAAACCGTATCAATCAGGGTAAAAAGATAAATCTGGTAATCAAATTATTTCTTTAGCAGTTTATTTGTGGGCGGAGTTACAATTGTTTGATTTATTTAATTCACCATAACTCAGTTCAAAATAAAACTATTTAGTTATACTTTGAATTAACATTGATTATATATATGATGAAACTAACGATAATTATTGCAAAAGCAAAGTAAGTCTTCCAAATTAGCAACGACTACATTTAAGTTACCGTTTTTTATTTAATTACAAGTTGATTCTGATTTTGTACGAATGCTTTTCTGAATCACCCGTCCCCAAGGGGTTAAAGCAGAAACATTGCTACAACTGAGAAATGTTTCCCTCCAAAAAAATAAAAACATTGTGAACACAGAAAAAATGAAGCATATGTGCTCTCTAAGTTTCCCGTTTTTAGCCTTTTATTAATTTTAGGGAAATCAAATATTATTTCAAGTTTGTTATACAACTATGAATATGGCTTAAAATTTACAAATTATATGAAAAGCAAACAATTGTGTGTAGATGATGAGTAAAACTTTGACCTTAAACTGGAAAACCTGGCGTCTATTTATCGATATCCCGGAAACAAACAAGCGAACCACAACGGCAAGTGCATTGAGAAGGTCAGTTGCCTATTTTTCCAATGGAACTATATAATTTGTCAGAGAAAATGTTTTCTGTTCATTTTTTTCTTCTTTTTTTTATTGGTTGGGTAAATTCTTTTTGAAAGCAACAATTTCATAAAAAAGATGACATGCTGTCAAAAATATAGCAAGATTTAGAAAAAAAAAACAAAACTAAGCCATGGTAGCTTATTTGATGGGATAAAAACACAGTTAGTTAAACATTTTTAATGTCTACTTTTTTCCAGAAAATATTAAGATTTATGAAATAATATACAGAATAGTTTCTTCTCGGGAAATATTTTTCTCCTAAACTTAGATCCCTGTTTAATGTCATGATAGTTAAAATATTATTGACAAAGTAATGAATTATATTAATTACAGTTTTTAATTATTTTATTAATTACCACAATAACATATGTAGATTTCTTAGAAATTGATTCCAAACAATTTATTTGAAAAAAGGTTCATTTTCTCAATAGCAAATTCCCTCTTATTAAAATTTTTTTAATTAGATTACTATTTTTTTCTATCAATTAAGCTGCTTGCAGCTTACAAAGAGCTCGAAACATTAAAATATCTACGTTATGTTATGAATTTTAAACGTTATGCAATAAATAAGTTTATGTTACATAGAGACTTATTGTTAACTTATTGCTAGTTTTTATGTTACATAAAAACTAACAATAAGCATCTTGCCCGAAAAGCCTTCATTAAAATGAGCAAGTTATATGAATAATGCAATTTTAGGTATAGAATAAAATTAAAAAAGCTAATAAAGCAAGTAAATTAAAATTTAAATGATTTGATATTTTAAAAGGACAAAAACGGTTTTTACTAAAATTGAAAACCATAAAATTCTTTAGTTCTTCTTAAAAATGAAAGATTTTTGCCAAAAATTTTGCATTCAAGTGATTTTTCCCTGAGTGTGTATACATATATGCAACTTATTATTATACTATAATATAAGACACTACTTCGAACAAATCCCATCAACTGACAACAATGAGTTTCTTTTTAATTTGGAGAAATGGAGACTTCTCTAAATGCTAAAGCTTTTGAATTTATTAGGTGACAGATAATTGGTGGACTTCATGAACGTACAACTAACAAGCGGATTTAAATTATTAAAAATTAACTTTAGCAATAATTTCAAAAAAGAGAACAAAAAACAAGATAATTTGAATTCTGCTTCTTTTCAGATATCAGCATACGAAAAGTTTTTTAAACAATATAATATTTCTTTTTTCTCTGTTTTAGATGCCTATCCATCTCAAGATGTTAAGTATATTTGGAAAAATGTTTCCCTTTCTGAAGATGTTGTGTTATCGCAATATGAATTTGTTAACATCTCAATAATTTCTCGAACGAATACTGTAAGAGTAGGAGGTAAACTGTAGCAAGTACGCATGTTAAAATTAAAACCTAAAAAAATTTTATTCACTGAAAATGCATTTTTGTTATTTTTTAGATAGAGAGGACCAGCGAACTGTATTAGTTGTTCACTTTATAATAGCAAGGAGGAAAGGTTATTTTATCTTACAGATTTACGCACCGTGCGCTATGATAGTTGGAGCTTCGTGGGTATCTTTCTGGATTAATAGAAGTGATGCTGCTGGTAGAGTAGCTGTAGGTAAGTCATTATACCTACAGCAGCCATTTCTATGCTATTTGTTGTATATTTTTCTCTCTAATATGGAAATAAGAATTAAAAACAGGTTTTTGTTATACTTAAAAATTGCACCAGAAATTAAATGCAAAACCTTTTAATGATTAGGTGTGTTTTAAAGATTGCATTTGAATTACACTTCACGGTAAAGGAAAAAGAGTCCTGTCACCATCTTTACTGATTTTTATATAAAATAACCTCTTGAATCCGAACATGATCCCTCACCCACCATTTTCTGAGAATGCCCCCTCCTAGTTTTATCAATTTTCTATAATTTTATAGCCATTGACTTGATCTGGGGAAAAGGGGAAAAATAATTATAATAATCTTTCTTCTTTTTTTGTGCTAGAGAGGTGAAAAGTGCTGAAACACGATCAGTTATTGCAAAGAAGAGGTAAGGGGATTTCCCCTTAAATTGTAAAAAAAAAACAAAATCATCGTGCAATATTGAGAAGGACTATTAAACGGCCAACTTTTGCGCTTAGTACCGTTTGTCATTGGAGTAGTGTAGCTGATTTCGATTCTTATGTCATTAAATACTTTATATTTCATCATCCGTTTTTTTTAAACTGTAAAAGGGCTTGAATAGCAATAGATTAACATTTTATGACCTGATTCGAATTGAAAATACTTATTTTTTCTTGTATAAATAGTTCAAAACGTAAAAATGGCTAGGATTGTCATTCTGTTATGAACATTAATTTAAGAAATTAAAGATAATCCATGCGCGTTAAATTACATTATTAAATTTAGGATCCAATTTTACATTTCAAATGGCGATTCTTAATATTAAAATTTTATATTTTAGAGAAGAAAATTTTTACTCATTTAAACTTGTTGTTAAATGAGTACATTACCACTATGCACACATTGGGTTCATAAATAACCAGCACTATCGTGCAGGCTTGGTCTTAAATAAGGCTCCTATACTATCAGAGCTGACCTATCAAGCAATATTGGAGCAAACAAGTTCGCAAGTTAACGTTATTTGGTATTATTTATGTTATTACAGAGATGCCATCAGCTCTGGACAAGCCAAAATAATTTAAAAAACGGTAAATAATTTTTAAGTAAATCTTGCAAATAGTTGACAATATTTGTTTACTTTTAAAAATGTGAAGCATGTTATAAGTACTATAAAGTGGTGAATTATATAAGCCTACGCATTGTTTAGAAGTAGTGGTGGATTAAAATCTACTAAATCAAACTTATTAAACCAAAAATAACAATTAATAAAGTACCACTTGAAAATATTTATTCGCTGTGCTTATGCTCTCTTTGCTCCAACAATAAATGATAAGTCGGCCTGTCTAATTTAGGGGCTCTAGTCTTAAAGGGCAACAAAATACCTACGTACGTAAAAAATAAAAATAAAATGAAAAAAGCACAAATGAAAATATAGAAAGTTTGTGCTTTATTCCCATTTTTAATTTTTTTGATTTAGTCTACATAGCACAAAGTATACCTTATCCTTTTCTCTACGTACCTATTCATTTTAAATTGACACTTTAAGAGCATATAATAAAAGACAGTGCTGGAGAATTAGAAATTATTGCTCTCGCCTTCTTTCAGTGTGCTGGTAGCAAAAAATAATTCTCTTTCCGGCGAATACATTTATTGGATCTTTAGTTTGATAATCATAGCAATGCCAACTTACTCCGGAATACAGATACCTACTTTGGAGCGGCATTATTTTATGCATGATTCACGATTTAATAAATTCGATTTATAGGGTTTCTACTGAACACTTCTTCTAAATAAATAATTCAAATGCTTTTATGATACGCCACTTGAATACAGTTAAACCATGATGAGATTTTTAAGAAGTTGAAAAAATTAACCGGAAAATCTACTAATATTAGTTTATACCTCTCTACTGTTTTTTAAAATATTTTGTCAAATCCGGAGCAGTTGACATCTCTGTAACTTGAACCAGTGTGGTATACTTACTACAACTTTGCGTAGTATATTTACTACACCTCCAATTTGAACTGATTTGTTGAAAACTTTTATATCAAGTGTTAAGAAACCTCTTAGAAATGAGAAAAAAATGACCGTAAAAATTCAATCATAGGAGAAAGCACCCTCAAACGAATGCGCTTTTCATGTCTAACTCGATGTTCTACGACAAAATGTGTTTATTTCATGCGTACCCTTCAATATTTGAGGTTTCTGAAAAATATTATTTCCATTAGTAGTGGATGAAGGCAAAAATATTTAGAAAAAGCCAAATTTTTGCAGAACTTCTATCAGAACAAATAATCATGACAATTTTTTGTCTACTTGATATTTCATACATCAGTTAAAATTATTTATAAGTTGCATACACATGCTCATTCCAAGAATAATTTTCTCAAGTGGCAGGGAAATGAAATTTGAAAAATCAGTTGTTAACAGAAATATTTTTACATTTCATTTTGCAAGATCTTAACGACACCACTATAGAGTTATCATGTATTTATATCTAGGTTTAATTTTATCATATGTAGCGAGAGGTAAAATAAATTTAAAAATTCAAGAATTAACTAAAAAAATTATAGGTTATGCCATAACTTTATATACAAAAACAAAATTTTCCGGAAAATTTCAAAGAATTGAAGTAAAAATGAGCAAAATTCTTTACATTTTAATTCATTAAAATACACTAGAGAACAAATTTTTTGCTACATATATGCAAATAGTTGATCTTATCTAACTTGAGTGGGGGATTTCGAATCTTAAATTAGTTTTATACAAAGCTATTGATTTTTTTTCTTTCAAAAATGTATTTTTAGTTCATTTTTTGACTGAATGTACAAATTTATAAAGAACGTGCAGGTTACGTATGTATACACTTGTCTTCTCCATTGAATATAAAATTGAGACAAAAAATAAAATAACCTTAGCTTATTACATCATGAACTGAAATATATTATCACCTTCCTCCGACTACGTCTTACGTACCAAAGAAGTGAGGACACTTAGTAGTCACTCGAAGGAATTTTAAAAAAATCCTGGTTTGAACTACATTAATAATCCGAATACAAACTTGCCAAAGGAACCTGATAGCTGATTTGAAGTCAGTGATACGAATGCATCTGAGATCTGTTAACATATATCATGCGGCAGACAAAAAAACTATTTTCGGGTGATACCTTTGTTACAATTAAGAAAAATGTTTTCTAAAACTACAAAAATAGCTGTTGGAGGGTGCGATTTCATGATTATTAGCCTTAATAGTCTGTACCTCAGTTAAGGAGATATTATGTTTATTTAATCAACTTATGAAGTTTTTTAAACGATTAACAGCTTTATAAAACTAACTGATACATTTGTGTCCCAAGGTGCAACAACAGTACTAACAATAGTGACTATGGGTTTCGGTGGTCGAGCAAGAGAAAAAGTTGGATCTGCAACAGCAATCGATTGGTTTGTTATTATGTGCTTTACGTTTGTATTTGCTGCATTAGTGGAATATGCCTTTGTAAACTATATTGATAATTATGAAAAACAGCAAATCAAGAAACAACTAGAGTTGGACAGAGAAAAGAAGAAGAAGGAGGAAGCTACGGTAATTTATAATTTCATATTAAATCCATAAAGCCATTTTAATATTCTGGGCCCTTTCAAAAGGGACTTTCCTAAGTTTTATGGAGAACACCACAGTGAAAAAAATGACAGAAGTTTTGCATAATTTTTCTTACTAAGGGTACATAACCACCCTGATATATCAGGACTCAGGTCAATGATGATGATTTATCTGCTTCTGGAGAAATTAATGTGAAACAACATAGTTAAAACGTGTGAAAACGGAGAAATTTTTAATGAATATGTTGTGATAAACTTAAAACATTTTTTTTTATCTTCTTGTACACATTTTGATCTTCATTTTATCATGTTACAAACACAAAAATTTAAAAAAAAATTATGTTTAGATAATACAATGTTTATTAACTTAATATTTAAAATATCCATAAATTGCTGCACTCATAAGTTTAAAAAATCAAGCAAATTTGATTCCGTTTCGATTTTTTTAAAACTGTATGAAATTTTCCTTGCACGTAGGAGTTTTGAAAAAAATCTTTTTTGTTTTCCTAAAATGGCTGTGTCTTGGAAAAAAATTCCAAGAATGACACTAAATAAGTTAAATTCATTTTCATGGATTTTGCATTCAAAATCAGTCAAAAAATCCCTCGATGCAATGAAAACTATTTTTATTGTAAACATTCTGTCGAAATTTGAAATACATGGCTTAAGATTAACAGTTGCAATTTGAACATATTCTCTGGCTGCTGGCCCTACATTTATTTTTAATTGTTCAAAAACTGTCAAAAAGTCTTTGCAGCCATCATTAAGAATTATTGTAATAAATAAGTTGCAAATTCAACTATTTATATTGAAAGTACCATTAACTCTTTTTCTTACATAATTTAACACGTTCACGTCGGGAAAAGTGAAAATACTGGTACGGGAAAAGAGAAAATACTGGTAGAAGAACTATTTCAATATTAGATAATATTCGGGAAGAGTTAATCTATTCTCAACTATAACAATTCACTGTAAGGAAATTTATCACGGCGAAGAAGCAATTCAATATAAAAATTGCATCCGTTAAAAACAATTGGTAGTTATGGATTTTTATTATTCCCGGAAAAAAACTAAAAAATGAAATTTATTGTTACCAGTTTTTACTCCGGTGCGCTGCCAAGATGAGACAATCTAGCGTGACCCACCGATGGGTCACCCCGGCGTGAACGTGTTAAACAATTTATTTGAATGAAAATAATTTCATAGTATTTCGTTAAAAGGTTTTAATGGGAGTGAAATACATTAATCAACTGAGCTTGTTCATGCAGCGCGTCCGGCATCGCGCAACGTGCTTGACATATTATGCTATAACTTTCACATTTTTGCGAAAAGTGATTCAATATTTTGGTAAAATAATCTTAAAAGGATAAACTATCAAAAAATTCAATAATTTTTTTTTCATTTTTTGAAAATTTTACTGTGTTGTTCCTATTAATATATACGTGACTACTATAGCTAAAAATATTTAAAAGTCATAGACAGAAAAGAAAAGATATTTATTTAAAATGTTGAAAAAATATTTGCGATTTTTTTATTTTTGGAAAAAAAATTTCATCTTATATTAGAAAAGAAGTTCATATTCTAGTTACCATTTCATATTTTAATAATTTTTTCCTATATTATTTTATTTCTAATTCATATAAGAACATAATTGCGGCGCCTATAATAACAGCAATTTTGTGAAACTAAACGATAATGCAAGCCCTTTTCGCTTAACACGTTCACGCCGGGGTGACCCACCGGTGGGTCACGCTAGATTGTCTCATCGGGTGGCGCACCAGAGTAAAAACTGGTAACAAATAAATTTCATTTTTTAGTTTTTTTCTGGGTATAATAAAAATCCATAACTACCAACTGTTTTTAACGGATGCAATTTTTATATTGAATTGCTTCTTCGCCGTGATAAATTTCCTTACAGTGAATTGTTATTGTTGAGAATAGATTAACTCCTCCCGAATATTATCTAATATTGAAATAGTTCTTCTACCAGTATTTTCTCTTTTCCGTCCCGCTTTCAGGGGCAACACCCGGCGTGAACGTGTTAAGCACAGACTGGATTGCTCCAATTTTAATCTGTTTTAGTTCAAAATTTAGCAGTAGGTATCTAATTTATGCGGATTCCGTTGCATGTAGATTTTTGAATCGAGTAATATTGTTAACCAAATTATAGCGTAGCAAAGGAAAAATTGTTTTGATTTAGTATACAATTGATCAAAAATTATAAACAGAGCAACGAAAAAAAATTCATTCATGCAACTGAAACCATAAGGAGTTTAAATGACGTCACAGTTTTCTACGAGCCGGATGAAAATTGAAGCTGTTATCAAACTCGTGAGTATGAAACGTTTTGAGAAAACGTTATTTGTAACTATCAGGGAGAAAAGCACGTGTTAGTATCAAAAACACCAATATGACTAAAATAGCAGAATTTTTTTTTTTTTAGTTTTACTTCATTCTAAAAGGTGCTTCCAAAGCTGAGAAACGTCATGTCTGTCAAATTGGTCGCCAAATCATTAAAATGAGATTAAGCAATTATTTCTTAGCCCATTTGAATGGGATTCTTGAAAATTTCACTATGGTGTTCTTCTTTGAACTATTCTTAATGTTACTTTCAAAAAAAAAATATCTAATTTAATATTTTAAAAATCCCTAAATTAATTTCAACAATATGGAAACAATATTTTCTCAAATAATCCTCGCAGTCCATAATACGAACCACATCTGCAGCATGAAGTCCTTTTCTTCTTCTCAAGATGTCCTATCTCCTATCCCATCTCATCCTACGTCCTATCTCCTTTCTCAAGATGTCCCAAAAGAACTGGAATATTTTTAGTCAAAGTATATATGAAATATTTACTTTAGAACAGTTTGAAAAGGAGAGAATACAAAAAAAAATTCAAGACACTCGTTGAGATGGACAGAGAAAAAAAGAAAAAGGAGAACCCTGATGGAACTACTGCAGAGTCTACGGTAATTTTTCTTAAAATTTTTTAATCTATTGAACTGATTTGATTAAAACACTTGAAGGTTATTTATTCTCTAAATTACACTTTTACATATTTCTATTATATATAGAATTAATTAAATTTTTTTTCAGTTCAGAAAATTATTTTAAATATATGAATGATTTCTAAGCGTTGTATCATAGAATATACATAATTTTTTTCTAATTATAATTTAATACAATCTTTTTGATCTCTTTTTTACGACAAAAAACATCAAGAAGGAAATGAGTTCAAATCTTTTAAAATAAATTATTATAATTTCATTAATTTACCGTTCTTGTTTGTGCAAATAAGAATACGATGTTATAATTTAAGAAGTTGAGTTTAATTTTAAAATCAAATAATTATTAGTTGTAAGCTGCATTCCTTATGATGTAAGCGAATTAAATTCATTTTTACAGCTTACGCCAATTTTTGCACAAATATTTTTATGGGGAAACCCATTTATGCCTTATTAGACCAAATACATAATATAAAGGGCCTATTATCTGACCAGATTATAAAAATTTCAGATACAAGTTACGTAAGAATAACGTCTCGTGTCAAAAATTCTTTAAAAAAAGCAATTTATCACGAAAATTTTAATAAATTTTTAGTTATAAAATATGTCTTTTTCACTGATGTGGTTGCTCTTATCAACGCTAAGACGAAAAAACCCGAAAGATTACTTTTAAATACTTTAATTGCATGGGAGCAAATACTTGCCAAAGTTTTATTTTTTCTTATTTGTATTTATTATTTTTAGGATACTGCAATTTTTAGGATAAACAATAAAACTGGACACTTAAATTATCATTCAGTTGAAGGAAGGATTATCCATACGTTTATTATACGCCTATCCTACGAAACAGAAATTTTAACATTGTGAAAAATCATCGTATAACCGACTAAGACCAGGAAATACATATAGATATTTTTTAATGGCAGGCACTGAAATCTCATTCCTTACCACGGAAGATGCTGAAAGTGTTGCTCTTTAACGTTGGCCTCAGAGCACCTGTGAGCCTAAATCACGGAGTCGAGCAGCATTACCCACGCCACAGATGTCCGTTCATAGGGTGGGTCACACAACAGAGGACAATACACTAAGAGAAACATCCAAGCTAAAAGCGGGATTCGAACCTGCAACCATTGGCTTCGTAGTCAGGCACGCTAACCGCTCGGCCACCTGACTGACACGTCAAGAAATATAACTCCCATTTATTGTCTTCTGCAGCAAACTTTCTTCGTGGAGATATGGTCTTTGAGTGTTATACCTTTTCAAAATACTAATACTAGGTTTTTGTACCTTTTCAGGACTCTCCAACAACATCTCAACCTAGTTCAGGATTCAGCAGTGTAAGATTTAAGGAGCCAGATGAAAAAACCACCAATTCTTTTTCAAGGGACAAACAACTTCTGGAACAACAGAAACAATTGGAAGAGCTTATGCAAGGAGCCAAGCTTTCGATAAGGCGAAGGCCCTTTCCTCTAGGAAGGGGTCTATCTTTGGAAAAAAGTCCATATAGAAATCGCCACATTGCGAGTAAAGTTGATAGCTATGCTCGTGTATTATTTCCTGTATCATTCGGTATATTAAATTTACTGTATTGGACTCTGTTTCTTCATATCTTGGATGATGAATTAACTGCTCCTACTGAAGGAAATGCAAATAAATAAGTATTTAGAAAGCCTTGATGACTAGAAAATCAAAAATATACTTTCATGTGTTGACATTACCATAGCTTACTTAATATCTTTGTAAACACAAAATAAAAATTGTTATTTTTGTATTTGTTTTTGTTGACATATTTTAACATTAAAACACAAATGTAGCATAAGCAATGTGCTAATTCAATCTAAATGTTCAAATCTATTTCGTAAATAGTCATTAAATTTCAAACTTTCGTAAGGTTATCGAAAATTTTCAAATACCTTAAAGTTTTAAAATAATTACGTACAGTGTGTATAAAATGAACCATCCTGAATAACTTTTGATCTAATGATCGGATCGTAAAAATATTGCATTTTTAACATTTAATTTCTTAGGAGCTATTCATTCAATTTCACTCAAATTTTGCAGTTTGCCATGTAAAATTACAATATTTAAAATGATGAACAAATAGTATACTTTACAATTCAATATTTTTTTTATAACTGTTAAATAAATGGCAAAAAACAACAAATACTTACTAAAATTCATTTTTTGCATAGAATTATCTTTGGACAAATGAATTTTATAATTGAGTGCAAAAACGTTTTAAATTGCTTTCAAAAAAATCGAGTTATGGCTAAATATGCAAAAAGTAAAATTAATATTAAAGAGGTCAAACACTGGACCCCTCTCCTGATCAAACTATTGGGACCATATTTTCCAGATTACGGGATCTGAAATCTGAAACTATCCTAAAAAAGACATATTTATTTAGAGAAAGAACGTTTTGTGTCTTTCGTAACTTAAATATAGTCTGGACTAATTTGTTAGCATGTTTGAGGTCAGACCCTCGTGAGTGTGAGATTAAGTCAATGTGAAAATGCGATCATTTAGATCAAAAGTTATTTAGGGTGGTCTGTTTTTTTTTTTTTTTTNTTTTTTTTTTTTTTTTTGCGCATTATACATTGTTAAAACAATTAAACTTACCGACAGCTTTCCTGCTAATATGATATAACAATTTATAAGAGATAAGTAAAGATGTTGGACACACACAAATTTTTAAAAACCGTTTTGTGAATTACGTAATTAATCAACGGATATAAAATGTCTGTAATAAAATAAAAGTAGATTTATAAAGTATTCAATAACATATGCAAAGTATTAATTGGTTTAAAATCTTTAAATCATTCATAATAACAATTGTCTTTAAATTTTACATTGCCTTTAAGTTGCCAAAAAAATAAGATCACCTTAAATTTTCAAAATATGCATTTTTTTAATGTTTTTCATTTTACGTAATTCGGAAGCTATCTATCACTGAATTTTTATTCGGTCGTCAGAAAATAGAACTTATAATCAGAAAAGAGAAAAAAATTTAAAATATTTTAATCAATCGGAAAATTCTGCCCATAACACGCTCCATTTTGAAGTGATAAAAAAGTCCCTTTGTAAATGAAAGTGGTGGGGAATCTGCTTTTAACACATTTGTTCTAACATCCTTTTAAAAAAGGTTCTTTCTAACAAAAAAAAATTATAACTCAAATGTTTTATTATTGGGATTTATTTTGTTGAAATAAGTTTGTTCTGTCGATCATAATAAATTATCGATACAATTCTTTATTTTTGGAGCTGAAGTCAAAGTCTAATGCTTTCTTAAAGCTTAAATGGTAGGTAAAAGAGAGAAATATCCATTTGGTAAAAAACAAATATGTCATGCCACTTTTTTTTCAAATTGGTGTTTTTTTTCTCAGTCTTTTAACACATAACAAAAGGGGGTTTAGATTTAAAAAAAACACCAGTACGAAAAAAAGGGCAGTGTGTTTTTGTTCACACCAAGTGGATATATCTTTTAACTACCTCCCACGTTATTATTTTTTTTTTAAAGAAACTAAATGTTAACTTCGCATTCAAATATTAATATAAAGTGAACGAACGTAAAGCGGACATTTAGGACAGAGTAGATTGTCCGCTTAAGGAAGCCAGTGGCCGTTAAATTGTTTATCATGAGCTAAATTATATATTTTTGCGATTCAAGAGTGACTTAGTTTTGAATTAAGTGAGTGAAGTTTTGGGGCAAAGTTTACGAAACACTGACTTAGGCGAAAGACAAGCTTACTGAAAAATCAATGCTGTAAACTGTTTTACCGGAATTATTTTGATGGTAAAATAAATACATAATTTAATAATAAGGAATTACATTATTATTTTTTTGTAACTTAATAACATTATAATTGACTTATTCCGTGTGAAATGAACCAATTACTATTGCAGTCATGTTGCAGATATTCGTAAAATTTTTCAGTGAAAATATTTCCCTAAAAAATGCTGAAAAAAAACTAAAATAATTTTTTCAGATTTTATGGAACAAAACTAAGATGAGGGGGATATTTTGAAATTTGGCTTAATTTAACTAAATGCGTCACTAGAAAGAATAACTTACGTGTTTTTAAGGTGTACAAATTTTTTTATTCCTAAACTAACTACATTTTTTCTTTTTTTAATATCATTAGAAAGAAAAGAGTGAGAACTACGCTTATAAATTATTTAAAGCTTGGATATGTATCTAAGTATTTAAAAACATTCATTAGAATAATTTTTTAGGGAAATATTTTTGCAAATTTCAAGAATTTTTTTTCAGGTAAATCACAACTTTAAAATCTTAAATTTTTTTTCCTCATAATTCTACTATATTTTTAGCATAAAAAACTGACAGGGTGCTTTTTTGTTTTTGGACATTAAAATAATAAAAATTAGCTTTTAGCCGAAATAATTTAACATTTTTAATTGCTCAAGAACAAAATTTCTTGACTTAAATTTTTTTATGATGCTATGCGTCAATTTTTTTGAAGTAATAAAAAATCAGTGGCAGTGAGAATGGTCCCCAAATGTTTCCAAAAGTACAGAGCTCTGCCATGGGCTCTCTGTAAGTCGTTATTTTCTGGCTCCTCTTTTATTTTATTTGATTCCCACGTATCTTCCAATTGATTCACTATTCTGGAGTTCATGTCATCCTACAATTTAGCCGGGTTTTTTCATGGAACGAGTCAATATGACTCAGTGGTCTAAGGACTGAGGTTCGATCCTCAATGGCGCCTTGAAGCCCACCCAACCTTTGACCGTACGCTCGGACAAGGTTGCCTGGGAAAATAAGACTGCTGCTTATGCAAATTGCTGTAGTCGTCATATCGTTGGTCACGACATTGTGGAGCGTTAACCTCCCCGTCTCACAACGGGCTGTTGCGGGAATGCTTTATTTGTTCTTTGATTTATTTACTTATTTTCTTGGAATCATAATTCTATTAAGAAATAACGGTTGTTTAAATCATTCAAAATATCCACGTTTGAAGATAATACAAGTTTAACATTAAAAAAAGTATCCGAAATAGCGCACGTTGAAATTTATATGTTTGTAAGAGGTGTTGCAGTATTTTTCTTTTTTATCTTTTTTGATACGCTAGTAAAATTAACGTGCCCTTTAAAACACATATACGTAACGATCACAAATTGTCTATTCTGGTGCTATTTGTGAATAAAGTTTCGAAGGGTGAGTCCATTTTGCCTTTTCACTGCTTCTCTATCTTCGAAGAATTTTTTCAATTGATTTAAAATTTTCCCCAAAGAACATTGAATAAAATTATACAAGCATTTATCAAACCAGCTCTTTTAACAGGTGATACAGAATTACAATGATAAATTTCGTCAGAATGACATTACACGACCAAAGGTGTAACTACCATTGGGGTATACGGAGCACTGCTCCGGCTCATTCCCCGTGTATTAGGGCTTTAAAAGTATACAAATATTTAAAAAAAAAGTTATAAAAATTAAATATATTTTAATTTTTTATTCTTACTTACATTTTTCTAAATTTAATTCGAAATTTTTTTCCATCAAATTTTCAAACTTAAAAAGGTGGAACAGAACAACAATATACAAAACTAAAATGATATTTTTTACCAGTTTCTAGTTAAAACTATAATTCATTACATATTAAAAGCAATGGATTTTTTGAGACTGAGGAGGTCCCACTTTGTATGCTTGCCCCGAGAGCCCAGCTATTGCTGCTATGCCCAGTCTTTGCCAGAAATTGCTATGCTACTGCAATACACATGTTGCGCACGCAGGGAATCGATTGAATGAAAATTAAAAAAAATAAGTAGGCTGAGCAAAAAGAAAAAAAAAAGTTACCTATAGATAGGATGAGGTAGTTTTTCGCCTTGTCAAAACTTTTCCCGCGAAATAGTGCTTTTGCTCATTTTCATTTTTTATTAGTTCTGTACTGACCGCTCTGTATTTTAGCATTGCGTGAATCGTGCCAGTCTCAACATCTCTCCAACAACTTTGTGATCTGTGATTGGTTAAAAGGTTGACACACATCTTTCGATTATTTTTGACGAGAACTGTGTAAAAATATTGTAAATATAAAATAGTGAGGAGCTAATTAATTATTATTTATTTAGGCTATTATAATTGTGGATATTTATTTTATCTTGTTGCAAATAAGTTTTTTAATTTTTAGCAGAACGTGCAAACGTAGCACGTATTTTTTGAAAATTATATCTGGCAATGGCATTTATTCTTGTTTCGGTTTTCGGCATATGACAGACTGTAAATAGAAGGAGGTTGTCTATGGTGCTTACTTGGAATTTTGTATTTTTGATGCTGAAGCTTAACACATCCACGCATTTTCAATGGAAGTAATCATGTAAACATGTAAATATATATCATTATCAATATGCCTAGACCTGATATTAAGAGGTCGAGCGGGTTTTTTAAAGGTGTTCTTGATGGTTTGAGATCTTCTGTCAGTCAAAGATCAGAATATTTCCCTGATGAAAATTTGCAACCTGAACTATTTCGAATTCTGAAGGTAATACATTCCTCTTTTTTCTTATTCAATAAACCAACGATTATTTGTTCTTTTCCTTATTGTGTGTGAACTTTATTTGTAGTTGCCAATTGTTTTACAATGAAATAGTTTTATCCTTATTTATAGTTATTTTCAGATTTATATTCAGTGATAAACAACTGTGCTTTTCTATTAAATTATATTTTAGATCTATCAAGTTTATTTAGATTGTTTATCATTAACACTGTTATTAGTATTTAAATTGTTTATTAACACTGATATTAGTATTTGTTAGGAGTTATATTGTAAAGTAATTTTTGATAATTCAAGCAATTTGTGTGTTTCGAGTATTTGTGACATATAATTTTTTTTGATTCTGTTATATTTCGTGAGAAAAAAACCTAAAGATTCAGCAAATGTCTTGATTAAAGGTGTAAGGGAGAAATTATGTCACATACTTTCATGCTTCACTATCATGTGATTCTCTCCTATATAAAGAAATTTGAGATTTTTTTTTTTTACTCTTTATATTTCAGAATGAGCTTTTCTAAATTTATATGACGCAACCGTTGTTTAGTAAAATTGAACAATAATCAGGAATTTCTTTACAAGTTTGTTTTAATGTAGTTCTCTTTAAGTTAAAAAGTGAGCAATTTTTAAATTTATTTTAATAAAATGATTTTATGCCATATAAAGTGATTAATTTATAAACTGCTAGCTAATTAACTGCTAATATTATTTCACAAGTATAAATTATTTGCAACTAGGGGAATAAGGATTCAATGTTACTAAAAGGCTTAAATTTTTTTTAATTGAATGCTCAATACTGAGAAATTCTTGCTGTTATTAACTATTCCTTACTAGTCTTTCATTTCTAAGTTATATCCCTATGGGAGATTATTCCATTTGTTTTGTTGGTGGTAAATGTATATCTACATTTTTCTGTTTTCAGAATCTGCATAATCGAAGTTTTTTCGTCTTCTGATAATACGTTGCGTTTAAAAGCATTTTGAGGCTTCGAGATTGTAATAATTTTTACCAATTATTTCACTCTATTTTATTAATTCATTTTCTTGAATTTATTTCCGTTTTTTAAATTTTTTTACTTGACCTCTTTTTTTTTTTTTTTTTTTTTTTATAGTCATTGCCTAGTATTCTCTATACTGAAGTTGTTTTAACATTGAGCTATTACCCAGCATTTGCTTCATTAATAATGTTTTTAATGCATCTTAATTGTGAAGTTTTAGCCACCTGAAAGCAAAAAAAAAATAAATAAATAAATAAAAAATATATTTATATATTCAAAGTAGTGAAAAAATATTAAATAATAATAGAAAATATTGAGGGGATTTAATTATTGACTATGTCATCCTTCATCTATCAAAAGGTACCTCAAGATAAAATCAAGTTAACATGTCTTATATACTAGTGATTTGGTATTCAATATTTATAGTGGTAGTTACGCCACATTACTCCCCTTCCCGAATTTTATCTATGATAGAATTCGATGAACAGATTACACTAGCTGATTCATGCTGTTTATTTATTTATATCAATTTTTGCTCATTATATTTTCTTCATTTTTTACCTTTCATTTTTTGTTTATAGCATTTCGCTCATTTTTTTTTCTTCTTAATTTTTTTGTTTATTGGCCAGGAGACTTTTTTTACTTCACTGGATTTTTTTTTCTTTGAGCAGTATATTTTTAAGCAAATCAACTGTTTAATGTAGACCATTCATCAATGACAAGTTCATATCACGTCCGGGTCACCAATGTGGGGGGAATTATAAATCGACTATGTCAATCTTTATCTATCAAAAGGTACCTCAAGATAGAATCAAGTTAACATGTCTTATATACTAGTGATTTGGTATTGTGGTAGTTAGGCCACAATGTAAAATCGTGTACGATATCATAAGCTTAAAGTATTCATTTATATATACTTGATTTGCTTATCTTATGGTATAGTTGTTTACTGGTTAATCTTCTTTGCAATAGTCCAGGCAATTTTAGAATTGTAAGTTTCAGATTTTCTACATGCAAAACCTGTTTTTCACCGTATTATTCAATGAGGAAATAGTACATGGCAGGGAAATTTCTGTATAATTTTCTTTGTGGACTCTACACTTATAGATTTAATATAATTAATAGACTTTAGATATTCAATGCTTAATTTTTTCTCATAAGGATAATTCTCTGCTAATAGGCTAAAATATAGAAATGGAGAGTATTTTAGTTTTTTTTTTCTATAGAAAAATTAGAAAATTATCTGTTCAAAGTTTGAAAGTATCTTTCTTACATTATCTGATACTTTTTTTGTTACACTTTTATCTTTTAAAATTTACACTTGTAATGTTATTTCCATATATTACATAAATTTTTTGGTCTTTAAATGAGTGTTTTTATTTAGCAAAAACGTTTTATACTTTTTATTCATATCATTCCCTTAATCATAGCGCATGATTCAGATTGATGACATTATTTTTTGGGTAAAAATTTTGCACATGTTCTGATAAAACTGCAAAACAAACATTGCATTGAATAGGATAGTGAAAGACAATATATTGTTATTTAACCTCATTTATGAGAATAAATTTCAGATGCAAATAATGCTTATTTTCAAATTCCCTCGTTTATTCTCTTATAGAGAATTGCATTTTTGTAATTTATGAAGTTTATTTATTTTCTGAAAATGTATTAATAGTTTTCTCTTATTGGATAGTTTAAGAATATATATTGCTATTTTAAATTTATGAGTATTAACTTCAAAAGCAAATTTCATTCCCTCACTGTGTGATAAGGATACATTTTGAGGGTTTGTTCCTAATGTTTTTAAAGACTAGTTAAAAAAGGTAGTTTTTGTTTTTTGATTTGACTTAGTTATTTTCTGAAAGAAGCAAGGACTAACCTGTACTTAATATATTCATTAAAATTATTACTTTAAACATGTTTGTAACTAATATGTTATAAAATGTTTATTCCATCGCCATATTAGTATATCATTTTTCCACTTTAATAAAAACTTACTAATTTAGTATTTTTTTTATATTAAACATGATTACTATGTTTTTCTTGTTTTGTGCCTCCTCCTGTATCTCATTATGAAAAATTAGAAATTTCTGGCAATTATTTTTTTTTCTTGTTGTCACTACTTGAAAATAGCCCATTAGCAGAGAATGACCTATAACTCAGTTATTTTGCACATCCTCTGCTTATATTTATAGCTAAATAGAATATTTATGGTTTTATTATAAACAATTTTAGGAGAAAATGGTATTGAAGCTTTTTAATTGTAATGTATGTATTTTAAACATTGTAAAAGTCATACAATAATTCCTAGTTCAGTGATTGCAGCATCCTATAAAAAAAATATTAAGTAGTTAGTTCATTTATTTTTAATACTAACAAACTGTTTAAGTTTTAGCTCTAAGCCTATTTTATGAAGAACAGTCATAGCAGCTTTAAAACTAACTATAATTATTTCAATCATTAACATGATCTGGTAATCAAAATTTTGTTGTTACGCACAAAAATTAATGTGAAATATTATAATTCTTTTATCACTTTTTTAATAATATATTGTGATAAAGTTTTTAAATTCATTTACTGGCAGGTTAATAGTTTTGACTGAACATAGCAAAATGATTCAAATTTATTATCTAACTGCACACCGATAATTTGTTGTAGAATGTGGCACTGAATATTCTTATTATAATGATTACAAATTTTCTATCTCTGAAAAGAAACTTCTGATGCATGCCAATGTGCTTATTAAGTTAAGAGCAAATGTCTGCAGAAATATAAAAAGTTTATATTCAATGAATGATAATGAAATAATCAACTGACTATGAAATAATCTGTTATTAGTTTGAGCATTTGAATTTAGTATTAAAAATTAACAAAAAAAGTCGGGGAAATGTTATTTGCAATTTCTTAATTCACAATTTTATAAAATACCTAGTTAATGCATAATTAATAATCTTGTTAATGCATACATAGTTAATTAATTAATACCTAGTTAATGCACTAGTTTAAAAAAGTTCCTTCTGAAAATTATTAAGGTAAAAAATCTCAAATTTTATGTACTTCAGTTATTAGAATTTGTCAGGGATGAGATTTTTCCGCTTTTTTTCACTTTTATCTCTTGAATTTCAGCTTTTTTTTTAGTCAAAAATTCAGGTTTTCTAAAAATTTCCCTTTTTTCTATAAGTATTCCGCTTTTTCAGATTCACTGATTTTCAAAGAGAAACAGAAAATTCAAACCACATAGCTACCAATCCTTTCTTATTTTGACTTATTTTAGCTATGTTCTCCCCTTTGACGCGCAGCAGATAAGATTTTCCGAATTTTTTACCCGCCCTCCAGATAAATCCGATTTTCATAGTTCAAACGACACTGCTTCTTACAAGCCTTTTAGAGATACCAAGCCTGGAATCTGCTAATATCTCGATTCTTATTCACACGATTTTAATATCAAACATAGCTTTTCATATTTGCGTGCTTATTTACTGTGCATA